TCAGAAATGGTTTTATATTAAAAATTGATCGTCGTTTGTTTTGCAATTCTAAAGTACCAACACCCCGCTCCTCCCCCTCTTAGCATGATAACCATGGAATTCTGAATAAAGTAATGTTTAAAAAATAGCGATACATCCCGAAAGTAAAGACAGAATGCTTCGTAAATTACACTGGATTGGAATATTGGTCTGGTAATATTCTGGCTTCTGATCTGTGATTGCAGGGACCACTGGCTTCGGTAAAGGGAGGAATATTCAATAGGGCACTGAATAGGCGAACCTTTTTGGCCGATTTTTTTGAGCTGTTTTTTTACCTGCTTGCAAGCCTTAGGCTATACGCTTAAAGTAGAAGTGTACCAAGCATGTGTGCATTTAAGGAAGAGGAACGGAGCGTCCTTGTTTCCGTGACATCTATGAAAGGAAGTGCAGAGTTCAAAAGTAACTATGCCAACTATTGACATCTTTTTCTGTATGTATGTGAAGGGCCAAACATATGTGACAGCGACTTGAAAGAAAGACTTCTTTCTTTTTTTTTTGCCATCCGCATTTCTCGCTTGCTCTCCTTTTTTATAACCCGTAATAAATCCGCGTCCGCCATCCGCAGGTATCCGGTCCACATTTTACAGACACCCAATAAACAGAGAACCGATAATTTTTGTAGAGTTTCAGATTTACAGTTCGACGGAAAGTCCCGATAGCCCTAGAACTTGCCCAGTTCTTGAAAAACAGTAAAAAGTAGCTTACTTATGTATGATTTATTGCGAATAGGACCTTTATACCCGGTAAGACCGGTAAAACTGAAAGTAAGGGTGGAGGGCTTTGAATTCAACGTCAGGAGAAATAAGGGGTTGAACGACTACAACAATACTAACAATGAAATTCTGACTGGGATAAACATTCAAAAATTTCTAAATCTTGGTCAATCTTAGTTACAAATTAAACAAATACTGACGTAAACAACCCGCAAGTAGCAGAGGCTATAAATCGAGGCATGCAGGTTGAGTAAAGATATAATTACTTAGATTATTAAATTTTAAAAGTTACAGGAAAAACTATAAAAAACTACAATAATAAGACAATCGAGCACAATCAATGGCACACAAAAGAGGAAAAGTAAAGAAAAAAGGATATAACTAATTTTATAACTAATTTTATTACTCGCGAGACTAACAGATAAAATGCTTGTTTCTTCTGTAGATTCCTTCGTTACCGTCTCTTCTCTGGAACACCTACTGTCTTTAAATTATACTGATAACTGTTGAAACTCTGGCTATGTTGTCAAATTAACTTTAACAGAAATCTCATCTAGATACTTGTTTAGGCGTTGGAGCTCCGACTTCGTGGTCCAGTCTAAGAGAGTCCCTGAAGGATCATTTAGATGACCTCCGTGACAATGACACCAAGAAATTTATGGATTTACTGGAAACGTTTAGTCACGAGGAGCCGCAAGCAGTAAAATTTCTGTCCCGTAATTTAATCAGTTAAATAATCAAAGTTGACAGGTCTTTCTGATGATCAAAGCGACCGTTCGGTTTACCATTTACACTTTCAGTGCGAAGACTGTCACGGGAACATTAACACCTTCAGGATAATTGCTTACCATAACAGTGGTAGGTCGCGCGCGTCTGGTCGGTTTCGAAGAACGTGATCGTGACTGTTGTTTTCATTCAGTGACTGTGCGCGTTGATATGCCAACGTTTAAAACAGACTGCAATATTAAATTTTTGTTATAAAAGCAAAGAAGCTGCTGAGTAGAAACTAAACCGTCCCAGACTTATTCCGTTTCATTCGTGTACTTTCATTTTGATGGGGTCTGTATGATGAATTTACTTCTGCCTTCTAATCAGGCACGTAAACAACATAGAGATAAAACATTTCATTTTGCTTTTGTGGAGTAAATTCATCTTAAAAAAGTTAAACTAGTGGACCACTTTCTCCGCGTACTTGTAAAAATAGGCATTTAATATGTCGCGCTACAGTGCGAAAATCTTCTTGTCGTGGATTAGATTTCAGTATACATATTCTTCATTTCGCGCCAGAATAAATTAGTTTGCGCGCAAAGGGCTTCTAAAAAAAGATCACAAGGTTTGTCCCACGTCGAGTCCACCTTCTGGAGATACGCCGGCATGATAGCTGGAATACATTGCCGAGGCGAAGATCTGGCATTTTTTTCCTCCTCGTCTTTTTTTCTCCGCGACGTTTGTTTATATTTGTAGTGAGAATGCCGCGCATATCGGTGGATTTTACTACTGCAGTCAAGCGGCTTCAGTTCCTGCGGCTTGCTACTCATCATAAAGAAGAGTGCCGGAATCACTTTGTTCGCCTTTAACAGATTTGTTGTCGAATGCAAGGTAAAAGAACGGACTACTGTAAGGTAAGAATTGAAGTTTAAATTTGTTTCTCGGCGAAAAATAGTGCATACAACTCGTGAAACCCGTGAGTATTACCTCTGTTTAATATACCGGATGTCATGCGATGACCCCTCGCTTTTACGATGGATAGGACAGATACAAACAATAATTTCTTTCGCAACGTTTAGTATCATTTACTTAATATGGAGATCATCTGAGGACGATTTTTCGTTATATATGCTTCATTTCTTGGCTTATTCCGGCTACGTGCGAAAAATTAGATGACAATGTTTGTGTGCTACAATTATACTGATAATTTCTTGCACCTTGAAACTCATGAAAGCCAAACTTGTTTAACCCTAGCAAAAAACTCTTTTAATGGAGGAACCCAACCTGATAGTTGCACTAAAATCTAATAATTGTTACTGCATTTGCATGCTCTCTGTAACCTCGTGGGTAGAACATACCTGATGGTTACATTAATAATAATCACTGCATTTGCTCTCTGTAACCTCGTGGGTACAACATACCTGAAGGTTACGTTAATAATAATCATTGCATTTTCTCTTTGTAACCTCGTGGGTAGAACATACTTGAAGGTTACGTTAATAATAATCATTGCTCTTTCTCTTTGTAACCTCGTGGGTAGAACATACCTTATGGTTACATTAATAATATCACTGCATTTGCTCTCCGTAACCTCGTGGGTAGAATATACCTGACGGTTACATTTAATAATAATCACTGCATTTGCTCTCTGTAACCTCGTGGGTAGAACATACCTGAAGGTTACGTTAATAATAATCATTACATTTTCCCTTTGTAACCTCGTGGGTAGAATATACCTGACGGTTACATTTAATAATAATCACTGCATTTGCTCTCTGTAACCTCGTGGGTAGAACATACCTGAAGGTTACGTTAATAATAATCATTGAATTTTCTCTTTGTAACCTCGTGGGAAAAAAAATTAATGCCTCTCTCCTGGAAATTTTGCCCTGTCCTTTGAGCATAGTGATCTTTGGGTAGCGAATTCACGAAAACAGGTAAAACGCTTTTTTTAACAACAGCATTTATATTATTTGGCTTTTTGAGGGAGGTTAAACATTAATGGAATAGAATATAAAAACAGCTGATAAAGCGGAAAAAGTTATCTTTACAAAATGCGCTTTGACAATGTCAAGACTGAAATAAGCTGAAGTTTTGTAGTTAGCCCGAAGAAAACCTGTTCCTGCATGAAAAGCAGTTCTGATTCCCTTCTCTTCAGACTAGAAGAGATGCATATCCCTGTGAACCAGTTTTTTAACTAGGAGCGATTCCCACTCACTTAAGATACTTTATTGACACGAGTTCCTGTTTCAATATATGTCTAGTTCAAGCTTAGCCGCGTGATAGCTCCTCATTAGCGAAAAGGTCCAAGTGATATTTTGATTGACGTGTTGTTTTGGATCCTGAGGTTTTTTAACACCTTTTCTCTAGCTTAACTGGCGAAGATATTCTAGGAATTTGCCCCTCAATTCCAAATTCTTTGATGTGCCGCCAGATGCCGTGCAAAAATATCACCTCTTGCGGCTCCTCGTGTTTCGCAACACGTTTCCAGCCCGACCCATTTATCGGGTCATACCTTGGATCTTATTATTACTCGTTCGTCGGATGATGTTGTTCTAGCTTCTCCTAAAGTTACTTTTTCCATCTCCGATCATTATATTATTCAGTGTCCTATTGGCTTCCCGCGACCAGCTTTATCATGCAAAGAACTGACTTTTCGTAAACTCAAAAATATTGATATTGCTGAATTCTCAGATGATATTGCCTCTTCTATACTTTGTGCAAGCGTGCACTGGGACAACATTGATGCACTCTCCGACTGCTTTAACATGACACTTACTGACACTTTGGACAAGCATGCCCCGCTTAAAACAAGGATTATGATAAATCGTCCAAAGATCCCGTGGTTTAATGATGACATTGAACAACTCAAGCGTAAACGTCGTCGCCTTGAAAAGAAAGCCTTGAAAACTGACCTCCCTGGCGACTGGAATAATTACCATAAAGTTCGTAATCAATACTCTACACTTCTTAAATCTGCACGTGTGCATTATTATTCAAACCTAATTGATCAGTGTGCGGGTGCTGTCGCAAGCTATTTGGTGTGGTTAATTCTTTGTCTCAAGACCTTGTACCCAGATCCTCTCACTCTTTATCTTGGCCGCCATTTTGAATAAATTTCCTCTCTCCGTAGACAAATCGGTCACGTGATTTCTGCTGTATGCCAGGGTCTTCTCTCCTGCCGCCGCCATATTGGAAAGCGAGAAGACACTGGGGACGAGGTTGTCTGCTGGTTAAGGCACCGTTAACCGAGAAGACCTGGGGACGAGGTTGAGTTGTTTTGGTTGTGAAAACAAAAAATGGCGGACATTTCACTCGTTTCAAGGGTAAGCTCAAGTCATTTGAAATTAAAGTTTACAGTACATTTCTTTCTTCGCTTTCAAACAAACGCCAGCTCGAGTCCCATCCTTCATTTCTGCGTCCAATATTCGCCTAAAGATAGCAAATCTAACTAGGAAAAGAGAAAAATTCGATGTAATTTCCTTCAGTTTTAAAATATCAAACGGCCCCCCTCTCCAATAACGCCAATTCACGCAACTTTTGTCTGAAGAGTCCAAGGGATTGAACTCGATGGCTGGGTTCTTTCCACCATGAATCGGCAAATACCGCAGACAATCTGGTACAACGTATTTTCGGAGGGTATGAATCTTTGGAACACTTTGCCACCTCTTGAACTAATTTGGATAACCAATAGTTGAGCGTCAATGCGTCCATCTCTGTTATGGGCCGAGTAAGCGGCTGAACTTTGTCCAATTTATTCTCTGTAAAAACTCCACCAACTTCGACTATTGGAAACTTTACACTTCGCACTCGTTGCCAATCCTCAAAAATGCCTACTGCCCACTTATTTTTATATCTGGTAGAATTCGGTACTTCTCTCTCTACGCAAAGTTCTTCTTTCTCTATTGTTTTCGGGAAGCGAAACCTTCCTTCGGCCATCGCAAAAACAATATGTAAATCACTTCAAGTTCATAACGCTTTTGGAATACAAATTTGGTGCAACTCGAAACTATTGGATAATTAAAAAAAGAAAAACTCACAAATACAATGAATGCCGACTGAAAAAAACAAATCACACATACAACGCATTGTAAAGAAAAGTGGGAAAAATACAACACTGCATAATTTAGTATTGTTTCTTCGGAGAAGTCATTTCAAAAACGAGTGCGAGGGTTTCATAAGGTCTCCAAACGCTCAAAACAATAAAACCACTCGGCCTGCACTCGCCTTTGAAATAGTACTTGAATCAGGGTCAGCTTCATCATTTTTATCTGGATTAGATAGAAGGTTATAGAGATCAGATGTTATTAATTCATCAAATTGTTCAGTCCAATTACCAATCACAAAGCTAAATTCCCCTGTCATCAAGATCATAGAAGGGAAATACCTGCAGTGTATTCACGACGGCAAGATTTTGTAATGACATGTCTAATTCCTAAAAGTTTAACAAATTAAAAATACAAATAGTATTAGGTCATTCAACAATTGCTTATGTGGTCGAGATAATCCTCAAATTCTTCGTGCGTCGTAAAGGCTTGTGTGGGGAACGTATCATTTACTTTCAGCATAATATTGCGTTGCTCGTCCACAGATATATTTTGCATTGTTCTTTCTCTTGTACTCCCTTATGCGACCAAAGAGCCTTTTACGATAACTAGTCAAGGATTCGTTAATAAAAATCTTTCCATTTCCATCTTCAATCGAAGGCAGTGACTGATGTTCTTCCCTACCAGGTTCTTCCGATTCTTGTATAGTTCCTCCTTCTTATCTCGCTGAATAAATTTCACAATAAGACGATTTTTCACATTCTTTGAGTCTGGGAGCTTATGCGCGGCGGCAATATGTCGATCATCAATTTCAACACCAGCAAGCGAGCCAACTTGTTTCACAAGTTGATTAGGGTTTGCATACGATGAGATCGGTAGGCCATTGATTTCTAAACAATCTCTCCTTAGATACTGTTGAGTTTCATGAAGAGCGCATTCGACTCGATACAGTGACTGATCTTGTTTGTCGATTGTTCCCGCCAGCTCACCGAGTTTCTCTTCAAGCGAATTTGTAATCGTCGTGTATTTTTTATCGAGGTTAGCTGTTTGGCTTTTAACACTTTTGAGAGCAGCTATGGCAGTGTCATATTTCTTGGAAACCCATGGAGCTGCGGGACCGCAGCTGCCACGCCTGTTCTGTCCTCTCTGATTATACCAAGGTGATAGGAAGCTATGCACAATAGAAATTGCCTAGACCACAATGACCACCACCTTGACCACCGTGACCACCGCGACCACCGTGACCACCCCGACTACCGCGACCACCTCGACCACGCCGACCACCCCGACCACCGCAACCACCACGACCACCACGACTACCGCGACCACCCCAACTACCGCGATCACCTCGACCACCGCGACCACCACGACCACCGCGACAACCACGACCACCGTGACCACCACGACCCTAATAGATCATACTGCAGTCACAGTGGTTGAGCAGTTAAACCGAAAAACGTTCAATTGGTGCGATGTAATTCCGCGTCACACAATTACGGTCCTAAAGGATGAACTCTCTTTTGATTCGGCACCCGAGCACTAATAAAAGAAAGTCAAGTCAAGTCACTTCAATTTTTATTTAAACTCACACAGAATAATTACAATTAATACAAATTAGTGCTTTAGAATATAAAATCGAGGGATTGTGAAGGGAAAGAGCATTTCAATTTTAGGTTCATTGTGCAGAGTTTGGGACACCTAAATAGTTCGTGGAACTAGCCGAGTAGGTGACCCAACAAGAATATGAGTAGAAGGAATATAGATACAAAATAGTTATTTTAGATTAAAAGTATTACTTCATTAGTTAAATAGTAGTTAAGATAATATAATCGTAAAACATTAGGAATCAATAATAGTATTATAACCATCAGTCACCGAATTCTTGATATATTGACGAAAACTGGAAAACTGCTTGACTTTCTTAACATCAGTAGATAAAGAATTCCAAAGTTTTGGACCAGTGTAACTGAGAGAACGAATGCCGTATTGAGTGGTATGAACAGATTAAACAAACAGATTATCAATCTGTGATTGACGTGTATTATATGAATAAATTGAAGATACTGGGTTAAAGTAATTAACAAAAAATTTGATGGTATTTTCTGTCTCCTCAACGTCAGGAACACTTTACTTGTACTTTTTCACTTTTTTTGAAACTAAAAATAGCTAAGTACCAAATAAACAAATTTTCTTCCTCACATACTCAGAAAGTGGAAAGTGAGGAAGAGGAGAACTAAGGTTTAGTTCTTAATCCTCATCTTCCTCACTTCCCAAATACGAGATAGTTAAGGAGGGGTTGGCTGCCAGAGCCTGGGAAAGGGAAGTAGCACCAGAAGTACCAATACTGTTCCCACTCAAATTCAAACTAATTATGGAGGAGTTGGTCGCAAGACCCTGGGAAAGGGAAATGGCACCAGAAGCACCAATACTGTTGGAACTCAAATTCAAACTAGTTAAGAAGGAGTTGGTTGCAAGAGCCTGGGAAAGGAAAGTAGCACCAGAAGCACCAATACTGTTCTCACTCAAATTCAAACTAGTTAAGGAGGAGTTGACTGCAAGAGCCTGGGAAAGGGAAGTAGCACCAGAAGCACCAATATTGTTCCCACTCAAATTCAAACTAGTTAAGGAGGAGTTGACTGCAAGAGCCTGGGAAAGGGAAGTAGCACCAGAAGCACCAATACTGTTCTCACTCAAATCCAAACTAGTTAAGGAGGAGTTGACTGCAAGAGCCTGGGAAAGGGAAGTAGCACCAGAATCACCAATACTGTTCCCACTCAAATCCAAACTAGTTAAGGACGAGTTGACTGCAAGAGCCTGGGAAAGGGAAGTAGCACCAGAATCACGAATACCGTTCCTAGACAAATCCAAACTAGTTAAGGAGGTGTTGACTGCAAGAGCCTGGGAAAGGGAAGTAGCACCAGAAGCACCAATACTGTTCACACTCAAATTCAAACTAGTTAAGGAGGAGTTCACTGCAAGAGCCTGGGAAAGGGAAGTAGCACCAGAATCACCAATACCGTTACAACCCAAATTCAAACTAGTTAAGGAGGAGTTGACTGCAAGAGCCTGGGAAAGGGAAGTAGCAGCAGAAGCACCAATACTGTTGTAATACGAATTCAAACTAGTTAAGGAGGAGTTGGTCGCAAGAGCCTGGTAAAGGTAAATAGCAGCAGAATCACCAGTACCGTTCAAACACAAATTCAAACTAGTTAAGGAGGAGTTGGCTGCAAGAGCCTGGAAAAGGGAAGTAGCGCCAGAAGCACAAATACTGGTTCTAGTCAAATCCAAACTAGTTAAGGAGGAGTTGACTGCAAGAGCCTGGGAAAGGAAAGTAGCACCAGAATCACCAATACTGTTCCGACTCAAATTCAAACTAGTTAAGGAGGAGTTGACTGCAAGAGCCTGGGAAAGGGAAGCAGCACCAGAATCACCAATACTGTTCCGACTCAAATTCAAACTAGTTAAGGAGGAGTTGGTCGCAAGAGCCTGGGAAAGGGAATCAGCATCAGAATCTCCAATCTGCTTGAGACACAAATTCAAACTAGTTACGGAGGAGTTGGCTGAAAGAATCTTGGAAAGAGCAGCAGCACCAGAACCACGAATGCTGACCCCACACAAATCTAAATTACTTATGTGAAGGTGTAACCCTAGTGTACGAGATAAACTTGTGCACTCTAAAATGCAGCCGAAAGCTAAATGAAATAAACCCCTAATGTCTTTATCACAATCGGGATCTACTGAATTTATATTTTCAGCCATAATTCTAATAACAGACTCTGCTGTCTCCTTACTCGTTGAGGCTAAAATTCCAATCATGAATAAAAAGACTTGTTTTAGTTCGTCTTTGAATCTCTTGTCGTTTACTACTGAGACACAGTCAATACCTCCGTCAAGAATTTGGCAAGCAAGATAAAATCCAGAAAAGAACTCTTGGAAGCTTTTGTGGAGAAATGCATAACGCACAACAGCTTTCCTCTTGCAGCCACTAGCCTGGAGTGAAAGAAATCCAAACTTCGATAAAGCAATGGAGGAACTTCCAGATTCGTGTTCTTCAAAATATAGCTCTCCTTTTCGAACAGAGTGTAACGCCACTCGTCCCAGATTTACCAGATCGTCCCTGTAGATGTTCATAAGGTTGTCACGTTTGCTCGACAATCTTTGCTTTTTTTCATATCGCCTTAACACACATTGGACAATCTCAGTGTACAATTCAGTCCTGCTCGTTGGAAAAACGCCCTCTAAATCTTCACAAAGAACACAAAGCAAGGTTACGTTCAAGGGATTTTTGGACAAGTTTCTTAACTCATGCGAATACCGAATCTTTTGTAGCAAATTCTCCAGTAAGTCCTCCCTTTTGATGCTTTGAAAGTACCTACGAATAAAACTATTTGCATCTCCTGAGGTGAAACCTACAATCTCCCACAAAGTGTCACAATACCTCCTAAGTTTCCTCCCTACCTCATGACGAGATGTGAGTATAACGTGACAACCTGACAGTTCTTTACCCTCAACCAAGTCATAGATTCTTTTCATTTCAGTGGAGGCCATTTCATCTAATCCATCAAGTACTAAGAGAACTTTCGACTGATTTTCACGAACGAATTTGAAGAAACATTCTTTAGCTTGATCGTCAATTTCCGCAGGAAGAATTTGATCATCAACAGCTTTCCAGATGCTAGATTTCACTTCATGACATTTCAGAAGTAATAGCACGTCAATGTCTGGAAAAGAGGGGTCCAACTCCTTCTGCTTAGTTGCCCAATCATACGCTAGCTTCTGACAGTACGTGCTTTTACCAATGCCAGGGTCTCCTTCAATCAAGACTGTTCGCGGTCTTTGGCATTCTACGTGCGGTTTAAAGATTGCAGTCATATCGGTAATATCGTCAGTAAGTACTCCTCGGGTTTTTTCTTTGCTCACGATCTTCAACCTGGTAAAAATTTCATCCAGATGAAAACTGAAATCTTCACACCAAGGAGCGGGCAGGAGGCGTTGTTCACGTGTTTCGTACAGTTGACGAATCTTTTCCACAATTTCGGTTAGAAATGAAAAATCTTAAAAAAGAAAAATGCAAAGTATCATAACCTGCATTTTGTTTGGCTTGTGCAAATTACGTTTAATGTGTATTAAGGTTTAAATGATGCAAATAATTATGAAAAGAAATGCACGTATTAAGATTTACATTGTGCGGAAACCAAGGCTTGAAACAAAGGCAGCTCAACCGTGCCCATTGTCAGCTCAACAACTACTGCAATGAATGGTCGGTCATGGTGTCCGATAATTACTGTTTATAGTGGAAATTGTTTAACACTGGACAGTTCGACAGAATTCGTACTGACATGTACAAAAACTGAAAAAGCGCACTTAAAAATCAACATTACTACAAATTCCATCCCGCGTCTCTTCCACCTTTGTTATCTGTTTTTTCGGCCAGAAGTTAAAAAGATCATAACAGGAGCTTGTTTTCCCGCTAGACTGTTCACAATCCCCTACTTTTCTGTAAGATCGTCGAGATCGAGCGCTTTGCGTTATGGGTGGCCATCTGCACACAGTAATTTTCAAGAAGTTATAATAACTCCTCTAGTGGGTTAATTTAACTCCTTACAGTGGAGTTATTTTTGGGGAGTTATTTTAACTCCAAAAGGAGTTTAAAGAACTCTTTTTCAGAAGTAAAAACAACCCCAGATATTGAGGAGTTAAAATAACCCCCCCAAAAGAGTTATCCTGTACCTAAAATATTTACTTCATTTTCAGAGTTAAAGTAACTCCAAAAAGAGTAAAGACAACCCATGTAAGGAGTGCAAATAA